CATAAGCACAGATCCATGAGAGGATGAAATAGACAACACATGGGAATTACAGGAACAATAGGACAGTGGTTCGAAATGTGTGCATATAAAGGTTAATTTGAGGTAGAATTTCAAATGTTGAAATTTATCCCTGTAACCTATTTCTTAAAGGGTCGTGCTTGTGTAGAGCCAGCAAAACCCGTCTCTATGGTTAGAAAACAACTCAAAACTCATCTAGTTCATTTTTATGAGTCCATCACCACTCGATGACTTCTGTCCGATTTGTGCGAGCGCTTAGATTTTGTGACCAACCCTGACCGAACCCAGTCTAGCTGCAACCGGTCAGCTGTTCACTCGCCGTGGTTGATTATAATTATTCGTAAAAACTTTGGGCTTCCTTTGCCCTGTCCCGTTTTTTGACTATTCGAATTGATTTGCTCACTTTCCCAATGGCTTGTCCCGTACCAATTCATTCCCTTTATTCTTCATGACTCAGTTTACGTGCAGTGGTCGAGGTTATTATGTAACTGACTGAGCTCCTTTTTGTCCACCAAGTGCAAGGCTAATGAATACTGGTCATTCGTTGTAACTACAAACAGGCCTCATTCCAACGAATGACCTTGAACACTCGATAGTTTGTAAACCAGCCCTCATAGGTATCACGTTTAATACAAAACCCTCCACCGTCCAACTAGAAATCGAATGGTGATGCATCAGGGCATGATAAAGGGATAGATAAATGAACTGCAACGGATACGTGCATGCGTCGTGAAAACGATGCATCAGACGAGAATCGTGTACGGCACAATGTTTTTCATAGATCAGTCGGAGCTTACACAGATGTCATGGCCATGGTCTGAGGTTTTTATTTCATTTCTGTTCACTGAATACTGTTCCCACAAGCATCAGTGGTTTCATTTTGTTTTGAAGCATACAGCAGCAGTCCATCGGTGGGTGGCCTCAGTTCGTGTTCATAATCATCAGTGGAAACATGTAAGATCTCCACGAACACGCCGTTGTGATCCGGTATGGTTATGAATGTATCTACGGTAATGAAATGGTTCATATTTGTCTAGTATCTTGGATGTCACAAGATCTGTTTCACTAGATCAGCCACCACCATCAGCTCCACAACCATCACCAACACAGCAACCAAGTTCACTGGAATCAAATAGGCTTCTATCCAGTCAAGTTTGCTATTTTGGCATTTGTCTGTATCTAGCGCTTGAACAAATGGAACTATAAAACCTGTCTATCATCCATCTTCTTGCCTAATGATTTATGCCAAAATTAACTTCACTTGCGTACTCTGCCAACTCTAGCACAGGATCTATGCAAAGAGAACAATGGTGGTTGCCAACACGATTGTCGCACAGTAAACGGCGAGGCTCGATGTAGCTGTCACGATGGTTATCAACCAGCATCGTACGATCCAAAGAAATGTGTGGGTAAGTGGCCATCGAAATGTTTTCACCCCACTACCTCCAACAACATCAACAACTTCGCAAACCGTCATGTCCTTTTGCGCACGCCTCCCATTTACATGTCTGACGAAATGCCAAATGTTGTGTGCTAATGTAAAGTTCATGTAACGAATTCACCATGGCCTCAATCACCCATAGTCCCCAATGAGCGAACAGAATAGCGTTTCTGTTCATTGCATAGATGGGTAACTAACCTCAGAACTCTCGGGAGAAAAGTCGGAGTGTGCCTACAATATTTCGGTGTCATTACACCTTTAAGTCACCCTACAACCACTCTGTTCGAGCGAAAAACCCCAGGCGTTACAGCATGTCTTTCATATTTCCACGCCTATACTCAGCGGCTACACGGAAGCTAACGCGGTCCTTTTCGAGTTTTATAATAGCCCCCTGTTGGGCCGAGTACAAATGGAGTGAGCTTCAATATAAATCTGCCGGGCCCGGGCCCACTAACATAAACCATGCTGCCGAGGCAAACGCACCCGGGCACACATACATAGTCAGTCAATCGGCAGCTATAAAACACATCAACATTAGTGTTGAGCAATGGTTACAGACATATGACAACCAAGCGTGGAGCGGGTGTGAATGGGGAGAAATAAAACACGTTAATAAAAAGGAAGTGAATTCAGAACACCCANNCATGGGATGATCGTTGACAGGAGCTGAACAACTCTGTCCCGACTCGTGGATCAGTGAGTGACCCATGTGTTTGCTATATGCCGAGCTTACTTCTCGCAAGGGCGAGATGGCTAAATAGCTTAAGTGACATTTATGTAGCACACCGGAGAGAATTGACGAGGCGGTTTGCTTGTGTGTGTGTGTGTGTAATAATCATTTGACTTGCATACTAATTCATGGTTTACCATAAGGTCGTGGTGCATGGTTGACGTATGAGAAATCTGATCCACAAATGAATCTGAGCATGCGTTTAGCCCTCTTGCTGTTCTCCACTTGTTTTGCCTCGTCATAGTCGATTGACGACCGTTCGACAGTTTTCGTTTTCCACAACAAAGAAAGCTTCCCTCCGTCTGGAGTTTTTGGACTNGGGGGGGGGGGAGATAGAGGATACGAATGAAACTAATGCCCCAAGGAGTAATACTTATCTCAACTAATCAAAACCGCAAGATCGCCGTAGATAGTAAGTAAGTGGAGCTTTGTAAAATTGCATGGGGTTGTTTTAATTTTCAGTTTGGAGCTTTTGCTTCATCTTCTGGTATCCTACGAGGAAGCAGAAACAAACACAATAAAAACGCAGGATTTTTCACAAAACAATAATTCAAAAGTGTTTTATGCCTGATAGGAAGATAAACGGAGGCGGTGAAACGCTTGATTGATGGTATCAAAATTACTAATTTAAAATGTGGCATTCTTTTCGGGTGCGGAACATATCAGATAGGACACAAAATGTATTCATTGAAAGAAAATTATTCTCTAATTTGGTAAAATTTCATAAGAACTTGATGAGTAACCATGGCGCCTGGATTGCTAATAATCTGACTGCAGGTCAAGTTATGCAATATGGATCACGAAGGGCAACCAGCTGAGTGACAGACTCTTCGTGTTTCTGTATAAAATTTGGTTTAACGAATTTATCAGGAACGATGGTATAGGAAAATCGTAAAGGTTTTTTCCCTTGAAATTCCAACAGCTTATCGTCAACAATGATCAGTGAGTGTTATCTTTCCCGTTCACGCCCCTGCCTCCACGTCATGGTCGTCATGGTGTCCCCTAGAAAACTGATTGGATGTTGTGACAGATAAAGACTCTCGTGTTTCAATAGAAGATTCAACTTAGTGATACACAATTAATGAATTATTTGCTTTGATAAAAAAGTCAGTTTATTGTTATAATCCCGAGCGTTCGGTAAATGGGTACCGTCCAGTGTGTGAACACAATCACTTTAATGAATTTAGATTTCGTTCTATGGATACTTTCGAAATCAGATGACAACTTGGGGCTTGAAATCCTTTGTTTCCGGTCTGGTCGTAACAATAGGGGAAAGACTCCATCTGTACTGAAGCTGCTTGGCTCATTCCCAAGAACTCCTTTTTTAATGTTCACATTTCTCGCTCAACACATATTCAGTCCAACACTAATTCACTTCATTCTCTTAAAACTGGTCATGTCTGATATTTCATTGTCGTCGCACCCATACTCCATTCCACTCCACTCCCCCCCCTCACCTCACCCGGTGATGAACTATAGACATCAATGAGTGTGCACAAGACAATGGAGGCTGTCAGCATCAGTGCCGTAATGTGGACGGTTCGTACAGTTGCGAATGCAATCCGGGGTGGCAATTGGGAAACGATGGAAAAACATGCTATCGTGAGTCCGGTTCATACGTGATTATGGTTATGGTTATACGCAAGCAGTTCCTGATGAAACTCTGATGAAATGAAATTGATTATTGGGGACTCATAACCACCCATAGCGGTTTCACATCCGGCGGATTAAAACAGGCAAGATATTGCCGGAAACATCTGCATGGTGTTTGAACGGGTCATTGGCAATGCGTATTTATTTAAGTTAAATACGTATTTGGTATATCACCAAGTTGTACACATGTTTTTGGGCAGGAAGAAACCACCGCTAATTGCAATCACGAGAAAGCCTGGACCAACAACTCCATGATTGGTAAACTTCAGATTGAAGGTTTTTACTTCTTTAGTGGGATTCGGGCGGGATAACGTATTGAAGAGATTTTGTACATGGGTATACAAAATAGGACAAGTTGGTAGTTAGACAGGATGGACGTATGTGTTTTATTTGTGCATAGGCCAGTGTGTAACCAACATTCGGTGTGATCGGAAAAATNATATGTTGTTTGCAATCTGCAATGAATCGTGAAACTACTGTTTTTCGGAACAGACAGGGGAATGTGGGAAACAAGCTTGCCCACCGTGAGGGCGCACTTCAGCAACCTGAAGTCAGCTTTTATTGAGCTGGGGGAAAATCACAATGGGACGAAAGTCATCATCATCATTCACTGACCAATACAAGTGAAACAGTCCTCTTAGATGGAAAGAAAGCCTATTTTACGGTGCAAGAAACAGTTTGGTAATACTGAAACCAAAGAAGGTTGACTGCAAAGTAATATCTGAGTCTTCGACACGACTGGCTGTGTTCTTTGACCTTCCGTTTATCTGTACGTTTTCAGATAACAAGGGCAACGATTTCCAGTACAAAAAGTCATAGCTCCTGAATTTCCAGTGATGCATTTTATTATATTTTTCCTAACTCAAATTAGCGATCTGGTCAACAGAATTAGCCCAGGTAGCATCTGAGAAGAAAAGGCAGGCTGACAACCCACTAAGTATTTAGTGGAAGAAATAAAAGCGCAAAGCACAATACACATTGCGCTCGAGACATTTTGTGACTTACAAACAAAATGAATGGAGAAAGCCGTATTTTGTTGAATGTGAAGTCAAACACTGATTGGTGATAACCGAAGATGTTGTATAATCGACTGTTATGCGTACTTTAAGCTGGTAGATGGGCAATGATCGATCTTAATCACCTTGTAATTATGATGTGCTAAATCCAAATGACTATCCAGGCCAACGTTGAGTGACGCGCAACCTCAGAAACCAAGTCCAAATGTTCTATTGAGTTTTATTCGGTTACAACAATAGCAAATAATTATGCGGTACTATAAATATTAAGTGTTACAATTACATAAACAACACACTTCAAATCGTGGCGCTCTCAGGAGCTATGCCTAAACCGGCGAAATGAACAATGCCAATCGAGAACCAAGGTGCAAACGAGGAAGTTCACCACTCCGTCAAGCTATAAGTGAAATTACGTACATGGGATAGCGCGACGCATGGGTGAGACAGAGGACCAATCCAAGCAAGATTGAGCAACTCCATACGATAATCATAGAGCAGGGTGAGTCAGACAATATGAGAGCCACGGACAACGGTCACACGAAGGGGGGGGTGTTAACCGAGTTTGGTGGGTGAGAGAAGAAATGGATTGAACGAAAAGTGCATGTCTGATGATCGATAATACGCACGGGTGAAGAGAATGACACGTGAGGGAGAGGTAACCAGACAGATTTATGGGTGAAAACGCGTGGAGGGGGCAAAGAGATTTAACAATCAGTGTCATACCTTTGGGGATTGGTGTAACTTTTACCAAACACTAGCTATCGGAGGCAGTTCCAGCGCATGATCATAGATGTACACAACGATGCGAGACATTGCACAGTTTTAGGTTTGTTCCACTAAGATTATCCGGACTGGCTACAAGCGAAGCAAACCGATGATGTCTTTATATTTTACCAGAATGGTCCGGTTCAAACGAAAGCATGGGAAAAAACAGCAGAATACTGCAAAATTCACTGACTTCTTGGATTGGGAGACCTCGAGATCATTGTAATCAAAGGTTAGAGATACTGAGTGATATGGCTGAATTCCGTAAACAGTGGCGTTCGTGCATGCACTCATTTTCCTTGAAGTCTTGGTCTTAATGAATCATCTACCTTCAAACTAAAACGAGTTTGAACATTCCAATCTTCCTCTGACTTCTGCATCCGAGTGGACAATTATAAGGCAGCAACCAAAACCGGTGCATGAAAGTGCGTGGTTAATGGTTGTAAAAATTGAAACTGAGAGTAAACCTCTTTTTCATGAAAAATAATAATGAAATGGATATTCTTGAGGAAATAGTGCAATACAAGCAAATGAATAGAGTGAAATACATTAAAGGCTGCTGAAAAAGAACTACATGTCTGTAGAGAGAGGTGTCTGTAGAGTACATCGTATAACAGCCATACTCACATTACACGTCACACACCATAAGATAGCATTTCATCCGTTCTAATAGGGAAAAATATTTTGTCATTTTTGATGTGATTACATTAGTTAGTTTCCAATTGTTGAATAAATGCTGGCATGTGACAGTCACCTAATTTTGGTTCTGTGATTTGTGTTTTAATTTGTGCAATGCAATACAGATTGGTTAGCAGTATATTTTTGCTATACACACGTTGTGCTATTAGCAATCCCCTGTCCAATCATTTTGCATTCCACAGTTCTACGCTCTCATGGAATTTACTTTTTCCAGACCTTTTAAACTTTTTCTATGTATCATTATAATTTGACAATCTTTGGAACTCACCCGTCCTTCTTCTTTGATATGAACATGACGTTTCCTTGAATAAGCGGCTGTCAAACTGAGTCGGATGCAGGTATAAAGATTAAAGAGTTTGACATTCCTGATAAGATTCAAACACGTGACCTCCCAATGGATATTGTGAAAACCTATGTGCCTTGTTCACTATTGAAACAAAACATGTGGAATAATGGATAGATCCTATTATCGATATAAATTCTTGCCATATTTATAATGTCAAAAGTGTGATGTTCTGAAAAATTTTCTTAAGAGACAGCTAGAATGGCTTACCATGAAGCGATTACACATTGTTGACTTAAAGACTGCACCGGTATCTTTCTCAAACGTTTTTTCTTGCCAATGAAATAAACTAAAAAATACCCGGAAGTAAGCGATGGACTTCTTAATAAAATTATGGAAACAGGAGTGCGGTCACTAATACCAATAAACGTCAACGAATAAGGCTACTAACGAACGGGCTTACAATCTCAATCTCGTATCTCACAGAATTTTCCATTAGATGCATGTTACTCAGTAGTGAGAGCGTAGCTGAGAAGGACCATAACAATGATCACTATATATATATATATATATATATATATATATTGGAATCTGTGGCCTAGATGTATTTTAATGATTATGATAGATAGTGCGAGACAGAGGACCTTAGTGCGAAAGCGCAGATCGCTGTTGCAGTCAAAACATTTTATCACAATAACGCCTCGATCAAGTTCATTGCTGAAATCATGTTTCTTCCTTACCCATAACACAACTTTTGATTCGTTATCTAGCTACATCCGCAACCACTGTTCCCAGGAAACTTCGCTTTAGGAACCCCAGGTCACGTGACCATTCGCTTTCACCTTGCGGAATGCATCACTTTGAGCCCGTTCGGCCTTTCTAGGTATTTGACATTGCGCATGATCTTCCCACGCGTTTTAGCCAACCAACAACTCAGTTGTGATGAATGTTTAAGTGTACAAGTTAGATCTTCATACCGTCTGGCACAATGCTCTATGTTTGTACTTTAATGTTTGAATACCTATGTTTATGCGATCCAAGAAATAAATACAGGTCAAAGATGAATAGATAAAAACTATGATCGTTCATTTTCTGGTTGTTAGTCTTCGCACAAAATTCTTTATTGATGTAATAAAAGTGTGAGGAATAAATAAAGTCCCACCCATAAAATCAACAAAAAGACAACCTTGAGCTGATGAATGTGCATGCTTCAAATCCATAGAACACGTTCAGTTTTTTACTTGTGATCATTTCCAGGCGTACTGCTGGAGGTGAGCGATCCGTGCCAGTTCGGGAATGGGGGATGCACACATATTTGTTTGCGAACGGAGCAGGGAACGGCGGAATGTGCATGCAATCCAGGATATGATTTGCAGGCTGACGGACGAACGTGTCGAGGTATGTTTACTCACTCCCATGTTGCTCGCTCACAAGTGTATTGAAATCCACTAAAAACTATCATCAATATATATATATATTATATATATATATATATAAGTTTTGCTATCACAAAGTTTCTGCGTTTAATCGATTAAATGACTTTTTTAGATAAGTAGAGTTTTGGTTTCTGATAACTCTGTGTGAACAAGGTACTTTTCTTGCTTCTTGCCATACGGCCGAGATATTTAGCATTGTAAACTTAATGCGAAGTGAAACTCACACTTCGGAACAGATTTATTGTTAAACAAATGTTAGTGGAACATGGGATCATTCAATAGATAGTGCTCCATAAGTGGGGAAGTTGCTCGATCTAAAAGTGGATAGAGTCAAATTTATCACACTTGATAATAGCCCCGAATTAGGGGCCCCAGAAACATCGTATCTCTCATTGGGGCCGGCCACATAATTCATGTTCTACTTCAAAGTTGACAAAAAATTGAAATAAACCGACTGGTTGCGAGGTGCAATCTGAATCACAGCCAGTCAAAATGAATTACTACACATTACTACTCACAAGTAGGTGTGAGTGATAATGAAAAGTTTCGCGATTGGTAAATACTTCTCGAATACGCCAGTCAATTCTAGAAGCACCACGACCGAACGAACCCAGTCGGGAAAAATTAAGTTTGAGGGAAAATGTCTGTTGTGATTCAGGTACTCAAATCACGTGCCAATGCGATAAAGTGCCATACCATTCTTCGATTTTCTCCCAACTTGTATCTTGTCTGAGAGATGTAGATGCTACAGTGATGCTGAGGTCTTCCGAAGCTGCACGAATGCACCCTAAGTATCATTGCTACATTTTCTCTTGAACATATAACCGACGACAGTTAAGATTTCTAAATCAATGGACAATCATTCCAGAATCGACTATGAGTCCCGAGCAGTAAGTCCAGGAATCGACTTTGAACTGTATATATCCCACTTCAGGGGTCAAAATTCGATATTCTCCAAATTTTCGTGACAAATCGCGAACTAAAAGATCTTGTACTTTGTTCATATACTTTTACAGCCTTCTGGGTAATTGTGGTATTTGAATTTAATTGATTTCTCAAATCGAATAAAATTCAACATCTACAAATAAACCGACAGGTTTCTTGAGAACGGCTCTCCTTGAGAATTAATCTTTAAGCAAAATTATCGGTTTCCTCACTCAGTTGATGTTCACTGAAGAGGATTTCTGGACCAAAATTGCTTAGTTTGGTAATTCCGGTTAATCTCCGCCTCCCTTTCGAGAGGAGGTGGGTGGGTAGCACCTAGTTCGCACCATAATGAAAAACAATCCTTGCATTCTACGCCCCGGAGTTCACATTCCGGACTAGTCCGCAGATACTGACTACTGATTGACTGAAAAAAACTGAAACTCTATCCCCTGGTTTCTTGAATATGTAGGTAATCTGATGACCTGAATATTGTTCACTAAGATCAAGAAGAGTTATGTATCACACTGACCACTAAATTCAAATAACTGTGAGCTAAATGAGTAACCCACATAATGTGTAACTCATTGATCTTCGTCACTAGGTGATGATCTCTATTTATCCTTTCATTGTCACCTAACTGAAGTTAATTATTCCATCGAGGCCATATGAAACAACTCCCCTCCCGGCAAAAAACCGGTTAAATCCATCAATTTAAAAGACACGGGAGACAAACGAAATCAGTTCCGTTTTATTTTGTCAAAACCGTTTCCACGAAGCAAAACCTCTTCTTATGATCAATCAAATTGAGAAACAAGTCACATCAGTCTGTGAAGTTGTTTTACCAATGGGAATTTCTATTCACAAAAATTGATTCAACTTGTTCAACAAATAGTAGTTACATGAACTTATGAAATATATCTGTCAGCTGAATACCTCTATGGTACATACGTATTGAGCCTTTACGTTCAACAAACGCAATGTCTTCAAATCACCATCCAGGATCCTTTGACCCTGCTTCTCTCTTTCTCAGTCCAATAGTTCTCACTGAACCAAATCTATTACAGCCCTGAAGATAAACCTTAACAACTCTAAATAACTTTGTTCAAAATAATTACAATCCCTGTAAGTACTTCCACATCAGTAGTCCGCCGTAGAAGTTACACGATCGCTAGGGAGTTGGCTTACCATAGACCTTTCAACCCTACTCCCCTTCGTCGGGTTGAGTTTCTCTTGAATGACCTATTTTGTATTTCAGATCGTGATGAGTGTCTGACCGGCGAGGCTGCTTGCCATGGACCGGCGGTGTTTTGCACAAACGAAGTGGGCAGTTATCGGTGTGAATGTCAACCAGGATTTCGGCTGGCACCCGATGGACATTCATGTCAAGGTTTGTCCTGTCTTCTCTTGTTGATATAGAAAATTGACTGAGTCTCTTTTGTGTGAATTGGTTGTTTCCCAGTCAAATATTTGCCCTCATAAAAGTACAAACGTTGATGTGCATAATCTATGAAGACGTACAGGAGTTCACATTTACCTGATTTTATTTATCAGCTTAGGTGTTGAAATTCTGCTACATACACCATCTGAATCGTTTGAGAGATAGAACGTTGATGAGATGAAGTTATCGCAATCGCATGGTTACCCGTAATTAGGATGGAAGTTCACCTTATACACAAGATGACCTTCACCATTTGGATACACGAAATTACGCGAAGAAAGTTGGCACGTCGTACGTAAAACGAAGTGAAATTTGTCCGAACTATCTCGGCATTCAATTGATCTTTCGATCAGTCATGTTCGGACACCTTTTTGCTGTAATTTAATCTGACTTAGGAAATATTATACCGGTCCATTTCGACCAACAGAGTAAACGGTGACTGCCACACTGGAATCCAGAGAAAAAGAATCGGTGATAAAGCTAAAGATATACTCTTAGATCATATACCGATGCTCGATAGGAATTCACTGGGTTATCTTTCTTTTTAGCAGGGCAAGTGAGCTCTCATTTAAATCGACTGTTTTAAAACGGAGCACACAAAATGATGAAAACGACAAATCAGTACACCATTTGCGTAGGTTTAGGGGCTGTCAAGTGTGTTTTGGAAAAACTTCACATAGGCATCTATATATATTTATTTATAGACCGGGGAATCCATCAAACTAACTCTCTGAAGACAAATGAGAGGAGTGGAGCTGAAGAAAGTGACCGTTGACTCACTTTATGTTTGTCATTGCTTCAGTGTGAAGTCCAGTACCAAAAATCAGACAATTCTGGATGATAGAACTCTCTTTATGTAGTTTATATATATATATATATATATATATATATATATATATATATATATATAT